TAGATGATCACAGATGTATAATAAATAAACGGTAGAGATTATCTAACGTAGATATGTAAATAGGAAAAGTATAAGAAAAAGAGAGACGGTATTTATAATTTGAATTTGACGAGGGGTGAATAAAGATTGATAATTCAACAATTAAACAGTCTGCAGTGAAAAATCAATAATAATTGATTTCTACGAAAATTTACATTTTCGAATTTACTGCCAATTCTGATCGTCCGCCAGTATGTATATATAATAAGTCTTGTGACATCTTATTATTAACTACGATGCTCTTTATGGTTTATATCACTTTGTACATTCAGAAAGATTTAAATCTTACTTGAAAAATTTCTGGAACTTTAGATATTGTTTCTGATGCAGTAAATTCCACATTATCTTCTTCTGTTATCAATTCGTATTTCAAATTCTCCTGATTTACGATATCTTCTTTGTATATTATATTAATCTCAATCCATTGGCATTGACTTATGAGTACGATTATTAAACCGAGCAGAATTAAAAATATAGCCAATCGCAAAAAATGATGCATTTTAAGTATATCTTTAAGATATCTATTTAAATTCTCCGTTTCAGGCTGTTGTTTTTCTTTCACTTCCATTTCAGTTTATCTATTTGATTCAAATTTTCGTTTAAATATTCATGAATAAAAGTGTCACTTTATTACAATTCTATTAGGTTCACTTCCTTTGTATGTTGCTAATCAAATGCAACTGAACAGAAACACTTCACTCGTTAGTCACTGCATAGAGGTTGATAAAAATAATCAAGTCAAATGATGAGCAAGTATTTAAAGATATCAACTACCATAAAAAGATCACGTAAATATATAGTTAAAGCAGAATACTTCTTTTACTACGCATTAATCTGCAAGAAAAACCTAACCTTAAGCCGCATATAAAATAGTAAAAATTATTTGCCATTACTTATACACTATTCATATGTGAAGCTGAATATCTTTAAAAACTATTTATGTTCAAAATTAAGACTTATTTCAAATATATCATTAATGCTTCGTAAATAATTCAGTGTCCACTAAACTGGATTTTGTCATGATTCATCACCCTTTTATTTTTAGCATATAATGACATTTATATTTAGAACACATATACCAGTAAACCGGTGTCCATTTCCAACAAAATCAAATTATTTACATTTTACTTCTTATCTCTCTACACATATAAATACATATATATGTATAAACCTTATGTCTTAAAATCAGATTCTACGTAATCCAACATTTCACACAAATTACAAAATATTAAATCCATATATAAGGAATGGCATTAGGAATAAAAAAAAAAATAAAAACAAACAAAATCATTTTCTTTGACAATTTTTATACATAGTGCTGTAATTAATATACATATGCATACGTACACAATTCCTTATAATGAAAATATCACAATTTTCTCAAGTTGTATCAATTTCACAGTTGTTATTCATCTTTTCGCATTTCTCGACTATTTCTGAAATAATGAATTAATAATTATTTTTTAAAAACACATAGAACTATATGGAATTTGTAAAAATTTACTTTGAACAATCTCCTGTAAGATGAGGACGGTCGGTGATTCCGGCATTTCTGTTAAAATATTTTTACCCTCGTCACAGCATTTCGTCAGAAGTGGATCTAATGGCAAAGAACCTAAGAGTTCTATATCGAATTCTTTGGCCATTGCACGCGCACCACCTGTTAATGCCGGGAATATTTCTGCCGAATTCTATTTGGAAAACGATCTTAATATAAAACGCAAATCGAAGTCAGCAGGAGAATTCTAAAATTAGACACTTGCCTTACATTTAGGGCACACGAAAACACTCATATTTTCGATGACACCTAAAATTGGTAAACTGACTTTTCTGCAAAAGTCAATTTCTTTTCTTACATCTAGCAAAGCAACTTGTTGCGGAGTTGTTACTATTATTGCTCCTGTGATACCAGCATCTTTAAGATACGAAATCGCGGATAAATGTTCATCCGAGGTACCAGGAGGTGTATCCAAAATAAGATAATCTAATGTCCCCCAATCGACTTCTGATAAGAATTGTCTAATCATTCCTAAAAATATACATATCTAATAATATTCTCTCAAGTACCAATCAATGAAATATTTAAAAATGAGGTACCATTTTTTTTTGGTCCTCTCCATATTACTGCATCACTTGGACTTGCGAGTAAAAATCCAATAGACATTAATGATAAGTTGTCATCTACATACTGGGAGTAGAATAGAAAACTAAATTTAATATATCAATTACGTTAGTTCACGCTTGTAAAAGCTTACCACTGGAGACCATCCTGATCCACTCTGATGGACTTGTTCTCCTATTGCATTTAATATTCTTGGTTGAGAAGGACCACAAATATCAATATCCAATACACCAACCTACAATGTATACTTTTCTAAATTATTGATAAACACTGAGAAAGCAAGTTAAACATACTATGAAATATATCTCTGCTTAGATTTAGAGTTACAAATATAGGATATATCAAAAACTTAAGAAAATCAATATGAACCTGGTACTAAGTGATACAAACAAGTACTATAGTACAAACCCATCTGACTACGGAACAGAAATCGCTAAGTTGACATGTAGATAGAAAACAATATGGAAATCTTAACTACTGGAAGAAAAGTAAGTATCTTTGACTCAATGTAAATTAAGCCAATTCTTATAACAGCAGGCTGCAGTGTCTTACATCTCAAAACGATTTGTCAAAGATTTATCAACTCACATTTGTATTAGGGTTGCTTAATGCCAAGGATCTTGATATCAAAGATGTTATAGTACTTTTGCCAACTCCACCTTTGCCAGATAGTACTAATAATTTGTTTCTAACTGTAGAAAGCTTCTCCTTAACAAGACTTATACCAGGATCTGGCTGTTTTGTAATGCCAGATGCACATATTGTTTGATTTGGACAACCAGCACATGCAGATGCTTTTCCTGCATCTGTGCTCTCAGTACCAGGGCAATCTGTAAAAATATTATAATTCATACACCTATTGTTCTGATTAGATACAGATTATTCAATATGCTGCAATATCTGCTTATATTCTTTTAATTGCTAACTGAGAACTAAATGAAAAACTTTTATTAAGCAGACCAAACTTGAGAATATATATCACTTATTTGTATTTTTCATATTTAAAATGAACAATTTCAATGGATAATAATTAAATATTTGTAACCTCACAGACGAATGATAATCAATGACAAGCATTAATGAATTTACTTTCATTTACTGTTAATTTATATTTTTATTTTAAACGATGTCACATATAATTATTAAAGTATTAAATTGTAAAATTTCGATTAATACTTATTAAAATTACGCTTTTCATCGTATATATACTTACGTTGCGGTGCATCACTGGGTACATCTGCCATGTTCGATAATGACTGATTCAAAACTGTTCACTTTGCAATAAAATAACTTTTCCCGATTTTTATTATAACAAAAATTTTTATTTGGATCAAACGAAAATGATGTTTAATCAGTTCTTATGATTATACAATTTAATCTATAATAAACATTCTATACGAACTTAAATGAAAGAAAGAATATTGTTTGAGTTTATAAAAAACTAAAGCGGACTTATATTCATTGCATTCTTTTTTATTTTAGTTTCAAAAATAATCTATATTTTTCGTTAATCCTTATCCTTTTAATGTGTTAAATATATATATATATATATACACATGTTATAATAAAATTTGCAGCCATCACAACTATGTCCAAGTACAAATATGCCGATTTCTTACATTAGACCATTAACACTGTGCCGAGATAACAGTAGGCACAATTTGATGCCTTGGCGCCCTAGTATAGAATATAAAAATGTTAACATTCTACCTCTGTAAGTTTTCCGAACGTAGCTTACAATTACTATTGTTTCGTTTTATTGATAAGTTCCTGAAATAAGTATAAATGAATTCTCTAGAGTTACAAGATCATCGCCTAACTATGTATTAAATACAGAAAACGCAAATTCGTTAAGATTCCCGAATTTAGTATCAGGGTATGGTAGAGATTCAGTAAATTCGAGAACTAAGAGGACGGTCGGTGATTCCGGCATTTCTGTTAAAATATTTTTACCCTCGTCACAGCATTTCGTCAGAAGTGGATCTAATGGCAAAGAACCTAAGAGTTCTATATCGAATTCTTTGGCCATTGCACGCGCACCACCTGTTAATGCCGGGAATATTTCTGCCGAATTCTATTTGGAAAACGATCTTAATATAAAACGCAAATCGAAGTCAGCAGGAGAATTCTAAAATTAGACACTTGCCTTACATTTAGGGCACACGAAAACACTCATATTTTCGATGACACCTAAAATTGGTAAACTGACTTTTCTGCAAAAGTCAATTTCTTTTCTTACATCTAGCAAAGCAACTTGTTGCGGAGTTGTTACTATTATTGCTCCTGTGATACCAGCATCTTTAAGATACGAAATCGCGGATAAATGTTCATCCGAGGTACCAGGAGGTGTATCCAAAATAAGATAATCTAATGTCCCCCAATCGACTTCTGATAAGAATTGTCTAATCATTCCTAAAAATATACATATCTAATAATATTCTCTCAAGTACCAATCAATGAAATATTTAAAAATGAGGTACCATTTTTTTTTGGTCCTCTCCATATTACTGCATCACTTGGACTTGCGAGTAAAAATCCAATAGACATTAATGATAAGTTGTCATCTACATACTGGGAGTAGAATAGAAAACTAAATTTAATATATCAATTACGTTAGTTCACGCTTGTAAAAGCTTACCACTGGAGACCATCCTGATCCACTCTGATGGACTTGTTCTCCTATTGCATTTAATATTCTTGGTTGAGAAGGACCACAAATATCAATATCCAATACACCAACCTACAATGTATACTTTTCTAAATTATTGATAAACACTGAGAAAGCAAGTTAAACATACTATGAAATATATCTCTGCTTAGATTTAGAGTTACAAATATAGGATATATCAAAAACTTAAGAAAATCAATATGAACCTGGTACTAAGTGATACAAACAAGTACTATAGTACAAACCCATCTGACTACGGAACAGAAATCGCTAAGTTGACATGTAGATAGAAAACAATATGGAAATCTTAACTACTGGAAGAAAAGTAAGTATCTTTGACTCAATGTAAATTAAGCCAATTCTTATAACAGCAGGCTGCAGTGTCTTACATCTCAAAACGATTTGTCAAAGATTTATCAACTCACATTTGTATTAGGGTTGCTTAATGCCAAGGATCTTGATATCAAAGATGTTATAGTACTTTTGCCAACTCCACCTTTGCCAGATAGTACTAATAATTTGTTTCTAACTGTAGAAAGCTTCTCCTTAACAAGACTTATACCAGGATCTGGCTGTTTTGTAATGCCAGATGCACATATTGTTTGATTTGGACAACCAGCACATGCAGATGCTTTTCCTGCATCTGTGCTCTCAGTACCAGGGCAATCTGTAAAAATATTATTATTCATACACCTATTGTTCTGATTAGATACAGATTATTCAATATGCTGCAATATCTGCTTATATTCTTTTAATTGCTAACTGAGAACTAAATGAAAAACTTTTATTAAGCAGACCAAACTTGAGAATATATATCACTTATTTGTATTTTTCATATTTAAAATGAACAATTTCAATGGATAATAATTAAATATTTGTAACCTCACAGACGAATGATAATCAATGACAAGCATTAATGAATTTACTTTCATTTACTGTTAATTTATATTTTTATTTTAAACGATGTCACATATAATTATTAAAGTATTAAATTGTAAAATTTCGATTAATACTTATTAAAATTACGCTTTTCATCGTATATATACTTACGTTGCGGTGCATCACTGGGTACATCTGCCATGTTCGATAATGACTGATTCAAAACTGTTCACTTTGCAATAAAATAACTTTTCCCGATTTTTATTATAACAAAAATTTTTATTTGGATCAAACGAAAATGATGTTTAATCAGTTCTTATGATTATACAATTTAATCTATAATAAACATTCTATACGAACTTAAATGAAAGAAAGAATATTGTTTGAGTTTATAAAAAACTAAAGCGGACTTATATTCATTGCATTCTTTTTTATTTTAGTTTCAAAAATAATCTATATTTTTCGTTAATCCTTATCCTTTTAATGTGTTAAATATATATATATATATATACACATGTTATAATAAAATTTGCAGCCATCACAACTATGTCCAAGTACAAATATGCCGATTTCTTACATTAGACCATTAACACTGTGCCGAGATAACAGTAGGCACAATTTGATGCCTTGGCGCCCTAGTATAGAATATAAAAATGTTAACATTCTACCTCTGTAAGTTTTCCGAACGTAGCTTACAATTACTATTGTTTCGTTTTATTGATAAGTTCCTGAAATAAGTATAAATGAATTCTCTAGAGTTACAAGATCATCGCCTAACTATGTATTAAATACAGAAAACGCAAATTCGTTAAGATTCCCGAATTTAGTATCAGGGTATGGTAGAGATTCAGTAAATTCGAGAACTACTCTTTATGCGCGATGCACACCTGATGAATGGTACGATAAGCAAATCAAATATTATAACGAAGCAGATTTATGCAGACATTTCTCGGAAAGGGTACGAAATGATTCTGTACGAATTATCAGGTAAGTAGTACGTATTATATGAACCGTACGTATACTGTTAGAAATGTGGATACTGGTAATAAGGATGAACAAATGTTCTGATAGAGATGCTGAAGAAAAAGTGCAAACTGGCCAGTACGATACTGGTAGAAGACTTGGCGAAAGGATAAACGACATTAATTTTTGGCGAAACGAAGTTGTATCAGAATTAGAAAGACTTTATCAACAAATAGAAAGACTTCAAGATTGTCGGTCTACTTTGGAAAAGGCTATCAAAGATATCGAGGGTCCGTTACACATTGCAGAGGAGTGCCTCTATCATAGGGAAGCTAGGAAAGGTACAATAAATTAGTTTATCAATCGACAATCGACATGGAACGTTTCTATCATATATCATTGAATAGGTAGTGAACTCGTTCATGACGATTCGGAAAAATGTTTGTTAAGAGAAGTGGAAATCCTGAATCAAAATAGGAAAAAATTAGAAGCTTGTTTAGATGAATGCAAGAATCAGGTAATATTAAAATACAGAAATAAACTTTAAATATACATTGACGATTGATCCTGTTCATAGTTACGAGAATGTAGAACCTCCCAATGTCACTTGGAGTTGGACCTAAAAAATAAAGAAAATGCGTTAGGGATAGACACAATGTGTCATCAATTAAACAATTACAGTCACGGATTGCAATATTATTCTGGGGTTGAAAAATATGACTCATGGTATGTGAACGTATTTGACTTCACCTGATATATAAAATGCATTATGTGTACACTACAATTTTTCGCGTACGAAATTCAATTAATTTCTTCTACTAGTTTCTCTGAACGAGACACATGGATGGATTCTACTAACCGAATAATTGAAAGATCACAGCTAGAGAGAAATAACTCTTGTCAATTAATAACAAATGCAGAAGCTCTTATGAACAAAGTTGCACAAGAAATGTGGGATGCTTGGAATACTACAAATACCGCACTGACACATAGGTCATCAGAATTACTTGAGGCTAAGAATAAACTTCAACACCATTTACAAAAGGTAAAAGTAACTGTATACATGTATCCATCATTAAACTTTTATTTTATATACATAATTTCAATGACTAGCGGACGTACCAAAAGTCATTTCATTTAATAACATTTTTAGGTGGCGCAGGAAATTTTTGATGTTGAAAAAAACTTAGAATTAATGCGTAAAGCCATTGCAGATAAAAGTTATGTACTAAAAGTAGCGCATACTAGGATGGAGGCCAGAATGCATCGCCCGGATATGGAACTTTGCCGTGATTGCGCGCACACAAGGTTTGTCCCTACACATTTATTTCCTTGATGACACAATTAAGAGAAGGAAAATAATTACGATAATGAATTTCTCTGTGGCAGTCTCCAGATGGAAATCAGCGAAATAAATCATCAAATAGAAAAGATGTATAAAGCATTGGAAGAACTAGTGAATCAACATCAGAAGTTATTGAAAACGCGGACAATGTTGGAACAAGACCTTGCACTAAAAATCGATGCCATTCATATTGATCGAGAAAAAGTTTATGGTTTTAGGCGCGCATATCCAATAAATGTATTGTTCAAATTTTAATACTTACATATATACAACTAGAAACAGTTTTCATTCATCAGTAGTTCATCATTCACAAGTAGTACTAAGTGTTCAATATATATTTCTATCCATTGTTAAAACATTGTTATAGTTTCTATTACCAATCACTATTGTGTGTGTTTTTGCAAAAAACTTGGTAAAGGAATTTTAATTCCTTCCTTGGCTTGAAAGAACGTGTAGGAAAGTATAATTTCATTGACATTTTCCATTCTTGGATCATCAGCAAACTCTGGGTCAATGTAAAAAAATACTGGCATGTCAACCTTAAACAAACATTAAATGATGATAGTATTACAGTATGTATTCAATGCAAACTGTATAAATATAGCTGTCCAACTAACTTCTTCATGTGGATTAAGCTGTTGTTCTTCAAAACAGAAACACTGAATTTTATTGAAATATTGTGCTGCATCATATGGTACTACATTATAAGTTGATATACCAGTAATTGGTATATCTAATGGATTTTTTGCTGTATAAAACGCTAGAGCAGTTTCTCCAGGAATAACTTTTATACAAGTTTGTTGTGGTTTAAAATTCCATTGCATCGTTGCAGCTGTATCTGCATTAAATTTTACGTTTATAACTCTGTCCTTAACAGGTATCACACTACGTAGTTTAGTACTATCATGATTAGCTGACAGTGTACCACCGTAATTATATGTCTAATAAAAGAATTATCCATTATCGTAAATATAAATATATTACAATATACTTATAAATTTCTTTTTATATTACCTGACAAAATATCCTATACAAAGGAACTGCGGCATATGTACATCCAAGTACTAAAACACCGAAACCGCTCCAATATAAAAGTGAAGATCGCATTCTTTTCTTATGTCTTGCATTGTAATATTGGTTGAATAACACTCGAGATACATTCGTATGTATTTGTCTGGCATTACAGCAATTCAATATTTTAGGATAGATTCTAAGAAACATTTTATCTTCTTAACCTAAGAGACCTGTAACATAATTCTTGCTCTTCAATGTATTTCCGTGTTTGCTAAGTAAAATTTAAAACGAAAAAAGAAGATAAATGTATATAACGATTAAAATTATTTAATTATTAATTATGTTATTGTGTTATACATGCAAATGCAGTTTTCCCTATGTAGACTGATATAATAGTTATCATTGAATTACATTCTATTATATAAATAATAATTAGTAGTGGACTGAAAACTGAACAAGAATTCATATATGACTTTCAAATACCTTGTTTTTTTCATTTACAAAATTTGACTACGTTCTTTCTTCCTACCACCATCGAGGAAACATCGGAAACATTAGTTAACATTACTGATATAATATTGGTTGGGTTGGGTTGGGTACATCATGGATTTTTGGGACGTGCGCACTGCACGTTACTTGTAGCAGTCGAGAGACGTATTATTTTTTCAATTTAAAGGTTTCATTGGATTCCCAGTGCGAAGACAGGCTTGGAATTAAAACTAATTTCTATTTTTTATTTGGTCAAATATTTGTCAAAATCAAATTGAAATCAGAATCACGATCATTATTAAAGTCGAAATCGAAACTAACTAACAAATTGTATTGATTACTAAATTCTGTATAATAAATGAATGAAATCGAATTTTGGTGTTTGTATTTTGCGATCAAATGACTAATTTCGGAAGAGGATATTTATGATTAGCAATTATCACTCTTTTCTTTCAATAATTTAATGTACGGAGTAATGAACGTTAAGGTGAAATAAGAAAAATATGTGATTTAATATTTTGCTGAAATAGAAGTCGGCTAAATTCTGATTAATAAATGAATAATTTTATTTTCATCTACTCCTTATTAATAAATTATTATTAAGATATCTAACTTTTGGATCTTATAGAACTGATAAAAAAAAAATAATTAATTCGTACAATCGGATATACATTTTATTGGTCCAGCTGTTCAACTACATAGAACTATTTATAAAACTTTTACAAAATGCTCAACGCTTCGTAACGGGAGACTTCGCACGTTTCTTTCCATTCCTCATTCTTCCTTTTCCCTTCTCCATTTCAAAAGTAAAGAAAATTACGATCTTCGTAAATGTCTGTGTTATTATAACAAGCTTTCACAAGAATCAAGTTATTACATTTTACTTACGTGTACGTGTGTGAATGTCTGTATGCGTGTAATTTACGTGTGTACAATATGTTACCAGAGAATTTCTTGAAATACATAGAGATCTATAAAGAGAGCCACAGGGAAGTTTCGCCGACGTCGACTTCCTTCCCACCTCGAAGTCTATCATGATTGTGCAAGTACTTCTGCTAAAGTTTAGCAGCTCCTCCGTTGTGAAACTTTCGTCCCAGAATCTATAGTCCTCACCGATATAATCTTTCTTTACTTAGGAGTTGAACCGATAAAAGATACAAGTACATAAAATACAGATTTTTTTCTTGAAAAATGTCCGCGACATATACAGGTCCTTTTTTTCACAGTAATACGATATTATATTATAATCACTGTTATAAAACGATTATTTCGTATAAGACAAGAAATCGTTCGCTTGAGGAAAAATTTTTTTTTTAATTATACATATAGTACATTCATGTGTCGCCTGTAATGATTCCTCTTATCATTTCAACTCCTCGATTCAATTCAACGTTACTTTTCTATCCAAGTTCGTGTTGCAGCTTCGCTTTCTAAGCGTAGATTATTCATTATACGATAGTTACGAACGGAAACGGTTAGACGAATAGAAAATCGAAGAAACCTGATCTAAGTTCTTGGAGTATTCGTAAATACGAGGTATAAAACTCGATTTATATTTCGCATCGCGTGTACGAGATTGTTCATCGACTAATAATATGGATTTGAAATTGGGAGAATGATAAAGTTTCGAAAAGAGACTGTCGAGTAGAAAGCTACGTAGAAAAATCATTGCAAGTTAATTAGAGAGGAACCATCGTACAAAACAGTGTATTGAACGTTGTTATAAAGTGTTTTTGAATTTCGTTTCCTAGCAACTTATGTTTCATACGTTTACGGTCGTGGTAGCGTCGAAGATTAATCCTACTAGTGTGAGTTTCCTTGGTTCGTGTAATTGATCACCACACTTGGATATTATACACTTACGATTGATCGTTCACGAAGATACAAGTGAATTGAAGAATTATTATGCGATTAACATTCTATAAAAATTGGCAGTATACAAACAATCCACCACAGAGAGAATATAACGAATAGGGATCGTCGAAACGAATGATACATTGATCCTTTGTAAAATTTCGTATAACGCTGGTTCAACTAGGCGAAACTTCGTACATTAAAAACTATGTTAATACCTTCTAAAATTGTTGATTTCTTATATCGTTGATACTTATTAATTACCTGCTTATCATTTTAATAAGGGTATCACGTCGACTATATTTTTCAAGAAGCTTTCCTTCATCCATCGGTCGTCTCTTGTATGATAATCGACGTTTCATAATCTTTCAAACTCGATTTCATCCTAAGAATTCCGGAAACGCAAACAGCACAACATCAAGTCTTTTAGAATTATAATAAACTTCCAACGAAAGGGTTTTAACAATGATATCTTTTTGATATTCTGTGTAATCGTTACACTCTCTTGAATGCCCAAAATATTTGCCTTATTACACGTAGAGCAACGTCCAATCGACTATCGAGAGTTTTCCGACAATGATTCAGTCGTGTGGAGCAACATTAAAAAGCGGGAGCACGATAAACTTTTGAGTATTTTCTCACAACTATCCATGTTGCCTAGCGGTTTAAACAAAAGATGGTTGCATGATACTCGCGTAAACCTAAAATACTTAATATTCAGGTACTAATCATTTTATCGTTCGGTGACTTGTAATTGCTCTATCGAAGTCTTCAAGATGACTTTCTTCTCTCTTTATTAAAAACTAGTAGGAATTGAGTGTTCGAATCTTTGACTGGCGTTGTGATATGATTACTAGACAAAGTTCAATATTCTTCGTAAAAATATCGGTAAAAATTTTAAATCATTTACAAATAGATACAATGCTTTATTTTAATTACGTAAAAACGAATCGAATATTTGCAATGAAGAGCACCAGCCGAAGATTTAATATTGACTTAATGTGACTCGAATCGTGGATTTTCGAATAAGAACTTCAGCTGCGATTTCTATCAGAATTCCGCTAGAAAAAGTTTCGGTCAACTATTACGTGTAGTAGAGAATTGTTGCGAGCTGTACAATTTTTCAAGCATTTTTTTTTAAATCTATTCTCGTGTTCCCTAAGAAAGGGAGCGACGGTCGTCTCTAATAGAGGCAATAATTGAGCTCTCGGGTGTATTACGCACAAGTTACAGAAGGTACAGACTCACGATGCCGTACTTTTGATTCGTCAAATCGTTAATAATTAATATTGTTACGCGTACATTTAATTTTTCCTAAATTGTACTTACTTTCCATGTTTCTACGTAATGTATATTAAAATCGTAAGCAAAGTCTCTAACGATTCGTGCAACGATCCTGGAGTCCAGCTCCATCATCTATTATGTATAGAAATCACTTCTCTCTGGAAATCCTCTTTCCCTGCTGTTCGAACTGTTTCGCTTTTTAAATGTCTAAGTGTACTCTTGTGAACACACACGGGAGAAAAGTACCCATCTAGTTCGAATCCAATAGTACAGATAAACTATGCATCATTCGAAAACACTCTTCTATTATTTGAAAATGGTAAGGAATAGAAATGAAGAATAAACTATAGAAATATTTCTTCAAACAACAACACCAACACAACAAATCAGTAATAGAAAACAATTTATGTACATAGAAAACATGTTTAAATACCATAAAACGTGGTACAAATATATGGGTACTTTTCTCACAGTAACACCGTAACTAAGAATCTATTAACACGAATATTTCTTAACTCACTTTGATGGTTCAATTATAGATCGGATAGACTATGAATACGTATATAAATTCCATTCATATACGTCCTAATATCATTGCCGCCATCAACGGGTGAGGAACATAAAGCCTCCTCGCGGCGTATCAACATTTCAAGATTCATTTTCTGAACAATACTACGTAACTCATTTGATTTCGCTTGTGCTTTTGATTTCATATTTCACGTCCATCCAGGTAATCAATCAGGCGCTCGTTTATAGATTTTTAATAGCGAATATTAAAGAGCCACTCGGGTTTATTTTCCAACCGTTGGATTTTCAATGGAATGGGAAGCTCTGGGTTGAACGAATCGCTGTGCAAACAACTCCGCTCCTCTCTTTACATTAACCGACTATTCCAAGTCTTATTCCATTATTATCTCCAACCATTCATTACTTATTTTCTGTCATTCGTTACACGCTTGTGGTAATCTGCTCGATCACGGTAACGTCTCGATGCCGCCTCGGTCTGCTCCTGTACGAATCCTGGTGACTCAGTCCCTCGGGCACGCTCTTGCTGGGTCTTAATGGTGCCCCGTAAAACTGCGGCTGGCAATAATGTTCAGCATGGATCCTTTCCGCTTCGCGCTCGCGATGATGGTTCATGTCGATGTCGAGAGGCACATGCAACGACTGGGACTTAGGTAGCCTCGGCCTTGGTGGAGGCGGACAGGCACACGGAGGTGACATCGGCACGTTTGGAAGGTGCGAGCCGTGGAGGAGAGGCGAGGCCGGCTGACGACCCCAGCCTACCAGGAAGAGTAGTGCCGCACCGCACAAGGAACTTAACGTGCACGCGTAGTAACCGACCCTCGAGCTGTTCTCGTTCATGTAACCTTCAACCAATTATTTTATTTGCATTACATGTTAGAAATATCAAGCGACATCATTGTATAATGTAATCAAACGAAGCACTGAATTCATCGTATAAAAATTGTCCAATAAAAAAAACTGTTTGTTCGGGAATTAATAGGATTAAATTGTCGAGCGGTTTAAATGTGTAATTACCAGTAAGAGGAACTCCAAGTAGAATAGGTAACGCCTCCGCGGCTTGTACCAGCGCCCAGGATCGTGCGAACAGTTTCGCTCTCAGCCTTTCCAGGGCCAGCATCTTTAAGGAGTAAAGGGCGCCGCCAAGGGATGCACCGTATAAACCGGAAGCTAGGATCAGGCCGTGATAGCCTTGTACGCTGCCCAATGCTATTTGCGCGATAGCTAAAAATATTCAGATCCTTTTATTATTCTTCAGTACTCATACATCGATCTCACATTTTTACAGATATGCATATGCAATATAATGAGATTAACGAATCCTGTGAGAAATCACGAATCGTGACCAGTTGCCTATCGTTTCAAAACTGTGAGTATTAGCCAGTGAAAGATTTAATAGCGAGCGAAACCGATGGCGGCAGAAAGTTTCAAGGATTCATTCATGTTTCAGTGAAGTGAATAGCCGCAGAGCGTATCGAACCATGGTTTATTTCGTAATCCTCTTACCGATGCAACGGGCATTAGCCATGGCCGGAAATAAAGCAACGAAAGGTAGTTCCGTCTAACTAAAACCGGATCGCTCGATATCGCGATACTTCGTTCGTAATTGATGGGTCGAGTATTGATATCATCCTCTGCTGCTAAGCTCTTTCTCCTTCGATTAGATGATCAAAACCGTTCCTGCTTTTTCACGACCGTGTTACCAACGCAATTTATTGAATCAATACGCTTGATATGTAGAAGAGATATGTAAATTAAACAATTTATTGTTGACTACTATTCTCACACATAAAGCTGCTTTCCTTTAAAAACTTTTTATTCAACAAAAATGTTGTATTACTCTTTTCTGTATTTCTTCTAAAAAATCAGCTCGGAAGGGATGAAAATCATATCCCAAGGGATGGAACGCGCGACATATTTTCTTCTTTAGTAAATCGCAAATTCTTTTCGGTGAACAGTTTGTCCGACGCGGGTGAACATCAACTCTGGCAACGAAACTCGATCCAACGGCGCAACGCGACGGGATAAGCCGCTTTTTAGGGGCTGCATCTTCTCTTGGTCTCGTTTGTACATACATTTAGCTCTCGCTTGTCAGTTCGTGCACCTACTTTCTCTCGTTGAAAAAGAGACATTTATTCCAGGCCCACATGTATCTATATATCTCGAGCAGTCTCTGTTAACAGCGAGTTACGTTCCTAAAAGTCTTTCTACCATATTTAACTTTCCATGGAAATAATTCAAACATTAAATGAATTCAAATTAACTCAACTCTCGTAATTAACTTTCAATTTGAATCAGTAATGACAAATATGCAAATGTTACAATATAACATTGTAAATGTACAACCTTTAGCTGAACCGAAATCAGTTATACGAAAATCATTTAAAAAAGTCTCTAATCAATTGTTGCCACTCGAAAATGGGATTCGCACACTTTCGCCAAACGAATAGGTTAACATTTAATTATGATAGAAAGTAGATAAAGAAGAACGGGAAAGCGACGCGTGTTTGAGCTGTTAATTAGATCTGTCAAATGTCCAGGGCGAGCGGCCACTCCGTGGGGAATATTATACGCAAATTTGCATTGAACGTTAATTGCAAACGATCTGTTTAATGTACCGAGGGAATATATTTCTGCGATCACTATGAAATCTGCGCGCGCGAGCCGAATATATTAAAACGTTGCCTCATTCCGCTAATTACGCGTTAAGCGTCCCATTTATATTTATAGAAAACGTACACGCTTCCTTCAAATATAAACAGTTGACCGAAGGATTATTAAAAATATTTTGAGTAGAACGTTCATTGCGTTTCCCTAATTGCGCGAATACATTTCGGAGTATCTCCGTCGAGGCACCAAAATTACGACGCCGTAACTATAAAGAATTTTAGTACTGTTAGCAACGGTCTTTATTAAAGCGACCCTCAATCCGAGCCATAGTCGCTTGTCCTTTATTTTTATAGCGAGCATGCGTTTTCTGAGGAGCACAATGTTTTTTTATTGAGCTACTACTACTTTCGTTCAACTGTTTCTTGAAATATTTAAAGAAGTACTTGACGCAAAGAGATCGAGATAATTTAAATATAAAAATTAAAAACGAAGCGAATTCACGTTCTCTGTTCGCTTGCATAAAGATGTGGAACTTATTAAATAGAGAAATCAACCGAGTGACTTCGATCTACTTTCAACCCCTTCGTCGCGCCAGGTCAATCAGAACTTCTGATCGAAGACTGAAAGAAATATTTCTCCTTCTGGACCGGAAACCTTCGAGAGCAGCTTGATTAGTTTCTCTCCGATAACCAATAACGAAATCTCCTCGAGTCAGTCTACGGTACGCCGCGTTTTAAACGCGCTTCCTCTATCCTGAGCAACCCCATTAACGACAGCGGCCTCTTCCCCTCTATTTCAAATGATATTCGTTAAAACGAAGACGGGGATAAAAAGAAGGTGGAAGATATGAACAAAAATAGATAGAGATAGATAGAGACAGTACAAACAGGTAGAGAGAGGCTCTCCGTACCCGTCGAAGCATCGAGGGGGTGGCTTCGTGACAGAATGGAAAATACTTTGTGTCGGGAACTCGAACCGAGGGTAAGCAGACTGAATGAGGGGTAAAGACGTGTATGCGGCTGACACTCGAAGAGCACCGGCCGCTTCAAAAGGGTGATACACTGGAAAGGGGTGAGAGCCTACCCTGAAACTGAATGAGGGCTATACGTTTAGAAATCTCCGGACGACGAACCTTCTGTTCCGAGGCACAGCACCCACTGTGACCGTGGTTACCGTGGGCAAGCTCATTCCTAAACCTACTAGCTTAGCTCCTTCACGTACAGACTAAAATCTTTCTACGCTTATTACATAATTGTTGAGTTTTTTATCTTCCTGTGCATTTGAAAAATTCTTTTACATGTTTAAGTTATTTACAAGAGCAATTGTTCTTTGTACTTGAAAATTCTCCTAAATTGAGTTGACTCTCTATTTCATAAGGGAATTGCATGATTCAGCGTATTCGGAACGAATTTCTGTAACAAGTTTCCGGAGGTAACGAAACGTTTCGGCCTGTGAACCTTTTCGCAAAGCAGCGTAACGTGGATGTATACTGACCAACTCCGAGGAGCGCCGCCTGGCAGAGATATTGCCTGGACACGAGGCACTGGGCAGAGGGTCTGACCGTAACGACCCCCCAAGCTGCGCAGCCGAGAGCCGCTGCCAAGCCCAAGCAAGTTTGCAAAAGCACCACGGCACTGGCCTCCAAACCGTCTTTGTGGCCCTGCACAGCCTGAAAACCGGCGCGTTTCATTAGCAGATTGCCGCAACCCGGGTAAGGTTGAAAAGAGGATCGGATAAGTGGATGGAGGAAGATGGGCTGATTGGTCAGATCGATATCCGGTTGCAAAAGATGCTTGACGGACAGATTGGTACTTATGGCTCTGAATGAGGTTTTTTGTTTCATCAACCGCTCTGCTCCGAGTTTTCTTTCATTCGAGTTATTCGATCATTATAAAGTCTACGCATTTTATAACAGGATCTATAATAATATCGTACGAAATTCAAGGAGTCTTTCACATTCTTCGCTTTGTAGTAATACAAAAATTCTTCAGTCAATTGTGATAGCGCGATATTGCTCGAATAAAAAATCAAATAATTAGAGTAAGGGTGCACTCACGATGTAAAAAGCTGGGGTGTAGAGGCCAAAGCCAGCAGCACCGGCTGCCAGCATCAGCATCCTGACGGGTCGGCTTCCTAGAGGACTGAGATCCAACCAAGGCTGCCTGGACGGCTTACTCGGGGTCTTCTTCTCTTTCAGCTTGCCGCCGGTACGAAGTTGATTCTTCGCGTGTAACATAGCACGCCGTTGAGGATGATAGAAGGATGCGCTTCTGTAAAACAATCCCAGGAAGAAGGCCAACGAGAGGGCTCCGGTTACCGATTGCATCCCACGCTCCCAGCCTAAGTTCCTAAGGAAGGAACAACATCCTCGTTACAAGGGAATCGCCCATTTATCGATTTACACTGGTTACAAAGGATACTTATGCAATACCCTTATTAACAAGGTCACGTACCATTGTGTAGCATCTAATGTGATAAAAGATAGATACTTTTTTAATGTATATTATAATAATTTGTTAGATGGTCCCTTATTTTTGTTCATGTTATAAAATTTATAATTGCACTATAAAGGAGTTATAGCAACTTTGTAGATCACTTCATCACTGAAGCACTGTAATCTGTACTTTAATTAATTCATCACAAACTAAATTAATATTATAATCGCATTTTAATAACGAAGCGGCTATGTGATTTCGCGTATTGAAAAGGCAAATATAAAGCATTATTTGACAGTAACCTCGAGATATCACGGAAAACGTGTATTCACCGACCCGTAGAATTACAAACGGTCCACCTACGAAGTTTAATGCCAACCGAAAATGGAACAAAAGCGCGGCAGGATTCAGCCTGCTACGAGTTTCGAGTTTACTGGCTCCGGTTGCGACGAAATGTAACGTTATGAAGTTTGCGGCCGCTTTGAGCTAACGACGAAACAGGAAAGCTGAGCAACTTTCGGGAATCCGTCGCCTTCGCGTGCAATTTCGTATTTTCTTAACGAGCAGATTGCGTCGACCATTCATTGGTCAAAAGTAGAAGCTAAACAATAACACATTCTCCCTTTCTTCGCTTTCCAATTGCAAAAGTTGAAATGCCCAATTGTGTAGTAGGATACATAATTATTCTATGTTACTGTATGTAGATTCGTCTGACAGAGTTAATTTACTTGTTGATTGAAACAGGTAAATGCTCCCTTTCGGGGGTAACTACAGGGCCAGCTACGTATACGTATAAGACCTTTACGGAACTCCATACGAGAGCATTGTGTCGGATCGGATAGAACAGATACGGACCGTGTCTGAGTAGATATAGGATTATTCTCCTCTGCTGTCGGTACGTTACCGCTTTCTACTTGCGCATGTTGACCCCCTCTGTTTGCCCATGTATACAACTGTAGCCGTCCTGTTTAACTGGCCAAATTCTGGAGTTATCATCTCTAGAAAGCTGTATTGAACTTCAAACAGGACTATTTATTCACGTTAATTAATCAGACTTCTGGTAAACGAGTACTGATCACTATTTATTGGATGACTGCTGTTCCGCCTTTGATCTTTTTTTATTATTTATTCTTGAAGAAATTGTCTAAATTCAAGATACTAAGTACAAGTTCAGATACATCTCTTTTTTATTAAAAAACTGATTAACCTCGATTACTTCAATTTCTCTCTAAGAAATACTGTCGTTCCGTGACGCGAGAAACGCGTTCAAGGTACAAGACGCGTCAGGGGCGAACAATAACTGTCTCTGTTGAAACTCAGAGTTCTCTCATCGGGCGGTGTTTACGGCGTCCCGACGCGTTTCATCGAGAATCAAGCCCTATTCGGGCTGCTATGCGTGTTGCTCTACTCCTTGCGAAGGTATGGTCTTGCGTTACAAGAGTAATAAATAACAGGTGACGGTAGTTCTACGATCGACTAAAACAGGTTCAGTCATTTCGCGTTAAAATTACGCTTATACTACTCACGCAGGAGGTACAAGGAACTAATAAGACTGATTCATATTAGACGATAAATAATGTTTATAATAAGACTGCTAGGAATTATTATTTAGAGTAATCATTCTAAAAATTGTATTTCAATTTTACAAAATATCAGTCAGCACAAATACACTCAACAAAGTATGAAATGACATGCTGAGTATCATTAATTTCATTCTCACTTTAATTGGAAACGATCTTGTATCCAGTTTAGTGAATAGGAATAGTCACACTGAATGGGATAAAGCTGGATTATTTGTCTGATCAAATTCAATCTTATTCCACTTGACAAGCTATCAGGCGAGGGTATTCTATTTGGCCACCTAGATATGCATCTATTCTACTTACTGGGCTCGACGTACTATGGTTATACTACTGACCGTGTCCGATCTGATACCCAACTGCTCTACTTGCTGATCATACGCATCCCGTATATCCTGTTTTCCTATGTTAGCTTGTTAGCTATGATACATGCAGCCTATGTGTTTGCAATTATTGTAAATCATCGTTATGAACAACCGAGGAAAATTTAAATACGCGTACATAAACCATTTTATGTGATAACTATAGTTCAATAAATTGAACATTCATTCAAAATAAATCGTAAATATATAAATCTGGTTTTTTATTGTTTTTTATGCTACGTATATTATTCTGGAAGATACACCGTATTTTTAATTTGTTTTCCAGACTGGTTCATAAAGGGAGATAAAATCTACTTTATATAGGATTAGTTGGGAGAGCTTAACACGTTTTCTTGCATTTTCGGTTTATCCTGATTCGTGAATTACAGATGCAATGACAGAATTTTATGACAGTACAAAATATTAGAATACAAGAGATTGAAATGTCTGTAAGCTTTAAATGTAGTCTATTTGCTAACGGTACTTCACCGAATTTAATACGAAGTTATCCCACTCGTCTGGCCATATACAATTCTGTTCTACTTGTCCTAATACGCCTATTCTACTCGTCCGCTTTCACGTGATCCTATTTCGCTTGCTCAAACACGAACCCGCTCTACTTTCTTACACAAGTGTCCCCCATTCGCTATTTTGCCGACGAGTTTTCTTTATTTAATCTTCAATCAGATTCCCGATTCTAGTATTTTTAAACAAAACTTGTTCGAAGCAAATCTTATTACATTTGAAAATCGAACTTTTGTACATGAAGGCATCTCTCATCGGTTCCGCAGCAGCGGTCGATGGTTGATTGATGGACCGTCTAGCGGCAGTTGATTGATAGCGAGAGGCGTCGCGTCACTGCCTCTGTATCGTTTTGGTAACTTCTGGCTGGTTTCAGACGCGATACGCCGGCTAATGCTCTTTTTTCCCTCTCGCTGGCGGTTGGCCGACGCAGATAGAGGCCGGAGACAGATTTATCGGACGTGTAGAAAAAAATCGCGTTGCTTCGGTCACATTCCAAGCTCGGTAAAATCCAACGCGGAAACTTTTGCCTAGTTTCAGTCGGGCACAATGTATTTGGTTCACAGATATCGCATACCGGAGTTTCTCGCGTGAATTTCTGTGTTGGCGACGTTTCGTTGGGATTTTAGAGGTTGCGTGAGGATTACTGTGGATGTGTATGTTTCTTTTTATTTTTATCAAGCTGTAAATCCGCGGCAGAATGAAATGCATCTAATTTTTGCACACAGTGGATTCTCCCTCGTCTCGTATTCCAGATCACGTTATAACGTTATACTTCAGAAACGTTATTTGGTAAAAGGTTTCATGATTAAGGAACTGTTTACAGTGGATTTTTCGTATCGGCTGGCAAACGTATTCCTCGTTTTAGTATCTCCTTGAACACGACGTATTACGAAATTAGATATGCAACGCGAGCACGAACGAAACGAACGCACGCGTTTGTTCTGTTTAGGAAATTGGAGGAAACGAGATTGTATCATTCACATTTAGCCCGGTACGCCGGTTTCCGCTAATTGAACGAACTCTTAACCCCGGAACTTGTCAGAATATTTAGGAAACTGCACGAAATTGCATCGTTAACAGAACTTTATTCCGCTAACTTTTCCTTGAATTTTCGCGTTGCAAAGAAAACTATTTTAATAATCCCTTTGACTCGAGCATTTCCATAAGTCCTATGAATACTTCTTATTTATAACCTTTTAAAAATTCTTTATCATTAACCTCAGCGCTTAACAGCTTAGTACATTTATTCATCCCTTAATATTTTAAAAACTTAATACATTTCATTCATTCCTTTAATTGCAGCATTTCAATAATTATAAATAATTTTTATACGTTATAAATATTTCTTCACTTTTAATATAGTATCAACTTTGTGTCTATATTTTTTCCAGAGAAAGGAACGCTGCCTGACGTAGCCGCATTGCAGAGGATTCGTTTGCGAACGATGAATCACCTGCCTGTAGTCGCGAAAAGCATTGGTATGCTGGCTATGAATCTTGGCCGACGCGACGATTAGGCCGCGTTAACGATGCAACAAGTCATTTATTTGAGAATATCGTTTAGGATATTCGCATCCTTGACGTTTCATTCTCTGAGTGCAGGCTCGTCAGTTAATAGAACCCGAACACTTCGATCACTCGAGTTTCCATTTGTATTCCATTGAAATGTGGAGAGGCGAAGTCACTCAAACTGATCTTGTCTGCGTGCCTTGTTCACCTTCTCATAATGCCACTTTATCTGACTAGATTCTTTAACTTAATGCACAGTGGAATTATTCAGAGGATAGTTAAAAAGACATTTTCCACCTTCAGCAAACCTTCTTAAATGAACTCGTCTACTTAATCAGATTCCGGTGACTTTTTGCCGTGACTCAGCTCGAGATTTAATTATGAGCACTGTCTCCATCGAATCTACGGCCTCCCGTCGTTTAATTAAAAGCATTCTTCGCGGAACCGTACCTCCGCCTGTCCTCGTCGTCTAATATTCGCAATTAACGATATTAGAAATCATTTTAATCGTTCAACAGGTATTGTTCCCACGTTTTAAATTTCGTAACGTTGAAAACCATTAACAAGGATTTATCGTTTTAGCAAAAAGAGGGAAACAATATATTGCAACGGAAACGGGCGTGCAATTATTTCATTCGTGGCAATTTACGCTGGATATTGTCGATACTTAACATTCCACTGATTTCCGTTTTTTCTCTATCGACACGGTAGTATCGATAAAAACAGATATATGTTGTCGATACAAAAACAGTATGCTGTCGATAAAACACTCCAACTACTCGTATCATTGGATAAAAACAAATTTACTTGTTTGATTGTGCGAGAGAGTGATAAAAATTGTAACAGAAAATAAATACCTTTGTAGTCGGTATCTATAGGAATTTCTATCGGTCAATGAAATTTTATATTGTTTCAAGATCACTATCGATGTAGAATAATTTTATTAACTATTTGAACAGATGAAAATTGATTTTCAAATGCAAAGAGTCGACATCACTTGTAACAATTGTTTCTATAATGGATTGGAGAACTAAGGGAAAGAAATAACCGATAACTTACACGAGAGCTTCCCTGTAGAAGACGCTGAAGAGTACTATCCCGACTCCCACACCGGCTTGCATGACCATCTCGACGAACTCTCGCCGTTTCTTGAAGTAATGGCCAAGCATCAGGCCGGCAGTTTCTCTCACGAGGCCGGCACCGGTACCCAGCACCAACCCGTAGCTGTTACATTTTGCAAACGGTCAATCGTTTCACCGTGTTCCAGTATATACTGAAAATAGCCTGACAACTCGACTAGACGAAAGGGACTACAGAGTTTACACGAGGGACTCGAGCTAAGAGTAAAGTTTCAGTCATGGGATTTTGTAAGAAATCGGCTTTTCGCGCTGGTCTTTATTGATAATGGATAGTTACGAGTATTTGTATAGAAGAAATTATAATCTGGTGTATCAGACTTCACTTATTTAAATGCTGTCATCTAGCAATAAATGTTGGATCAAAAAATGAACAAAATATGAGAAAATTTAAGTTACTGGATGTCCTCAGCTATTTTTGTTTCTTGTGATATTTTATGCGAAGGTTTTAAGGGTGAAAGCAAAGTTATTGGTTATTGATTAAAGTACAGCATAACGAAAAATAGCTTGGGGTAAACTATTATCTGCGAGAAGAATAGTTTTTGAAGATGCCTTCATGGAATTATTAATCCCTTGTGATAATCCCCTGTGTTGCGAAGTCTGTGAAAGTTCAAAGAGCTAGAACCGCGCGATATTTAAAAGTTAAAGCAAAGACGATCTAATAAAGAAAGGGAACGGAAATCCGAAGATTAAATTTTTTCGAGAATTAAACCCGTGGAAAGTTTTTAATTAAATATGCTCAGGATGAAACTTCGTAAAAGTTGCAGATGAAGCCGGAAGGTTAAATGGGCGGAATGGATAAAATTGTCGCTTTTCACGGTACTATCCAACTAGCGTAGAATAGATGATCATGAAAATTTCACCTAACGCTTTCAAAATTTACCGCTTACAGCATTAAACTAAAGTTCATAATCCTAAACGATCCTGTTCGCAACGTCTGGTATATGAAATGAAAATTCTTCCTTTAATTTATGTATTTCTAATATTCTCGTCAAATGAGAATGATGTATTATTTTTCTCGTCGCTTTGCCGATACTCGATTTTGCTTGCTGCGAGAACATGAAGTGAGATCATCGAAGATGTGGCAATTGAAAAATGAATAAGCTACTCACCTGAGGAGCACCTGGTGCAACTCCGCAGCGAACGAGGTGAAGAGCGAGGCCAATGCCAGGACTAGACCGCCGATCACCGCGGTGAGCCTTGTGCTTCCACGGCGACACGCGCCCACAACAAACGGTGCTGAACCACGGGACACTGCTGTGCTCAACGCGCCCACCCACGCTGAAACGATAATTAATATCCCTCGAGCTTTCATATTTATAAACTGAAAAAAGAAGGACTCTTCAATAAATCAGCCTAATTTTCTAGAGGATCTGAATAATTCATAATCAATGATATTTGCTCGTACATGAGTTCTGATAAACTTCTTTACAACAAATCGACTGTACACATTTATTATAGAAAAATCGTATGTGCCATTTTGCATAAAAATCCATCTGAAAAGTGTGATAATAAATAATGAAATTTACTTGGAATTTTTCTGAATCCAACGCGGAGAGGGATGTGAAAAATTGAATAAAGCAAACGACGTTCCGCATTTCGCTCCGATTGATCTTATCGAGAGGGAAGAAAATCCAAAATTCTTTTACTACAGTATGGATAGAGCAGAACAGAAGCGAGTAAGGAGGGACAACGTTTTTGCATTATTCATCGGGAACGGGTGGAACGTGCCGCCTTTGTTCGCTTAAATTCTCCGCGCAGTAATTTTTCTTTCCGGCGTAGCGTGCGCGTGGGAGGCAAGCGGGCGTAACTTGGACAATAATTCTCGCCGGTATTAAACGGCTACCGGGACGTGTCTCATCGATTTCTAGTTAGGCGCTGAGATATTAGCCACTGATAACGTTGATAAGCCGGCCTGGATGCTGCCGGAAAGTTAACGAGCCTCAGCTTCGTTCTCACAAAATAAAAAGCATCGAGCTTCATATATTGAAAAATTCGTGTTATATAATATTTACCTATATATTTTGATAATAAAATTCGTCTGATGTGAAATTAAATAATTTATGGCGACGAGACTGTAAGATCTGGTTTGTAAGAAAGGGCACGTCTAGAAGTACCACCGTAGAAAATTGCGGGCACAAATGGGAGAACAGATTTCTGAGTAACTTCTTGAATTATGTATTTTTAGGTGACGTAGGGTGGGCTACATAACGTTGAAACGTGCCCTTAATTTCACGGAAACCTCGCTCCTGAAATCCCGGTAATCCAACTCTAGCCAGATGCGTCCCACGGATTTGCACGTGTCTACAACGGCTTAATTACCATTTTGGTATACGATAAGAAAAATGTTGACGTAGGTAAATTCGGACAAAATTCGAATAGCATATAATTTGTGTTAATCATAATTCGAGCTTGATCGTTTAAAGATAAATAAATGAGATAAGCGAAATTGGAAGACGTCCAAAAATGATCGCAACTCTCGAAGGGCACCACTCACGAATCGCGAGTCTCGATCGGAATTTGTTTGCATATCGCTTTGACGTCGAGCGGCAGTCGTGCGACCGCTTGCCGAACTCCAATCGATGTGTTTGAGTTCGATAAGCACGCTTTGGTGTTTTTCCGCTCTATTAACCGAGTCGATTCTGAAAAATGTTGTCGCAAACAGTTTCGACAACCCTGTTCGTCCATGGGAGTTAAAAGCAGAGGGAAACTCGGTTGTACGTGTCCCGGCTCGTTGATTAAAATCTCGTGATTAAACTTGCGATGAAAGGGGTCGAAGCTCGACGGAGAGCATGAGAATCGATTATAAAAAAATCTTTTACAATATCGTTCCCTAACTTTTCATTCTCTGTCATTGATTTCGCGAGTGAATCGAGATTGAGAATGAAATTTAAGGAGAAATTCGAGCAACAGAGTTCTATCGCACGGAACTCCGAAATCGAATTCAGAAACTGAGGGTTTCGATTCTACGAGCTCCGTTCAATCTCGATGATGAAGGAGAGAAATGTGACGAGAAGCGGTAATATCGAAGTGCATTGGAGATTTCCCGATGAGCAATGGAAATCCCATCGACTCCTTTGTTATCTGGAAGTTCGCCGAAAACACTCGTATACGATGTATAGCATTACATAGAGATAAAAGGAAGCCGAGGCAGAGGCCAAGTATCCCTGAATGCACTCGTTAAACTCTTTGCCACGTTCCTGGCCAGGGAAGCTTGTCCCCCACTTCGTCGACTCTCTCTTCTTCCTCAAACTCTTCAACATTTTTCTCGCAGCGCGTTTAAGAGGATCCGCTCTTCCCTAGATGCATGCTCGCGCACTTGCCCTTATTTTCGAAACATCCTATTCAGAGTTCTCGCGAATAAACGTGTCTCAAACGTATCACAGATCCCCGCAGTTTTTAATGATGCAAATATTAGATCGGACGTCGGGAACTATCGCCATTTGTCAACTGTCAAACGTGATCACCGCATCGAAAACCCGAAGTTAGTTCAACCAGGAACCATTAAATTCAATTGCCCGTAAAGTCTCCAACATTCCCACAAGTATGTTATACGAGGGGACGTGCGCTGCAAAAATTCGACCGATCCCGGAGCGAACGTTCGCGGAAACCTTTAACAACCTGTTCTGTTTCTCTATCCTTTAAGCATTAACTATCTAAACGTTTTCGTGTGGAAAAATCTTCACCGCTGGCAAACCAGAGGCTCGCTCTACCCCAAAGGGAACAATCGTCTGCGAAATCCTCGCTCCGTTCGCTGATGCAAACCGCAAACAGCGGTTCCAGCAGCTCGTTCTCACCGTGAAAATCGAAAATCGAACAGAACCACCACCGATGGCTCCGTATTTCGGTCGATTTCCCGAGAAATACTCCGCCGCTTAAAACCTCCAATTTCATTCAGTTTTTCTTTTCTATTCCTTACTGCCTTAGAAAATAGATTTGTAGTCCAACATTTCATTGAGTATCTCATTTCCGAAAGTTCCTGTAAATGTTTTTATTACTTTAGACTAGAATGAGGTGTAAATAGGTGCCGGATAGAATTAAAATAAATCGATTCGATAAGGATTACTATCAGCGTTAGTAAAATTTCGCAGTAAATTCCGATCATACAGCAAAGAAAACGTGCAGATATTTTTGAGAAGCACTGTATCAGCCTGGGCCAAGAATTCTCGCGCCTTCGGACAATGCCAAGTCGAATATTACGGCTGTTTCCGGCGGCGACTCGCCACAGGGATGATTATTATCGCGAGGTTCTCTGCAACCGAGATTGTTTGCGGAAACGGTTCGTCGCCCTGTACTTCCTTCCCGCTTTTATTTCCAACCTCCCCGGGGGATACGGTTGACGAGCACGAGGGTCGATCCTCGCTTCGGGAAGATTTGAGAAACGCGACTAAAGTTTGGCGAGCGAAATCGACCGGACGAACCGAACCAATCGATGACTTTCAGACCCGCTACGGCGCCCCGAGGTGCCGTGATTCTTATCGAAGTTTCCTCTCCCGCGAAATGAGATAGAGATAGATCAAGTTTTTGCATAGTTCGGATACGAATCTGCTTCTTGTACATTCGAGTCCCCTCGTAAATCTTAGAACAGTTCATAAAATATATGAGACACTGCAAAAGTGCCCATAAAGCGGGATCCGACTGGCGATGTTTCAGTGGATGCATAAAATCAAATCTCAGCCTTTTTTGCTCTTGTTAACGAAGTTTTGATTTACTCTGAGAACGTCGTTTAAATATCTCATCATTCATTTCGTCTGCCTGAAGGTTTATTTTAGCAAGTGAATAGATTCGTCGATGGAAAAAAATTACAGAAGCACTCTCCATTATTCAACGAATTAAAACTGTCAAGTGTCTGTGTACGTCTGAAGATTTATTTCAATGAATGAATGAATGAATAAATCTTTCAATTTACGAATTGCAGAGGCATTCTTCTTCATTATACAGTGAACAAAAATAATTCTACGTCGCGGTGTGTAAAATTTCGGTGGGGAATCAGGGGGCCTGGGCGACACGTAGCGCGAGTATTTCACGGAGGCGGATCGTTTCGCGGGTACAATGTATCCCACGAAGTCGACTCGTTGCTCTAGTTCACCAATGGCGCTAAAAATGTCCGGACTGCTGAATTATTCTCGGCCGATCGAGCCAACCGGGTCGGTAGGTACCTGTTGAACCCGAAACCAGTCTGTACGAAATTTGAACCTGGACCATCAATTTTCAGTTTTTCCCTCTTCTTCAAATTATGCACTTTCATATTATTTAACATTATATTTCTATTATAATTATACGTGAAATTCGATTGAACATTTCATGTGAACATCGAGAACGAGACGAGAAATAATTTTTTAAATCAATCGAATGTAAAAGCGAATGAATGAAAGTGTAGAAATTGTAGAATATGATGATTACTTGAATTCTGTATGAAAATTTGATTACACACGAGTTTGTTCTATAATTGAAAATGAACAAAGTTTTACTGACAAGTCAGTGAAAATCGGTGAACGGTTGATCATCGAATATCGATGCGCAATTAAACGATCTAGAAATAAGGCATAGCCGACGGTATTTTCCAACAACGTCCATTAGTCGAAAGTTTTGATTGGCCAGGCCAGGCTAGTATTCACTGCGCGTACACGAAGCGGGTGGCCTCGCATCCGGGCGAAAGCTTCCCCGGAACTGGAACAAGATTTACTGGCCGCTAAGTTCTTCGTTCGCGGTGAACTTTCGATCGCCCATGGCTATTGTTCCCCGGCCCTCTGTGCGAGATTGCATAGAAATCTGGCCTTCCGCACACACAGTGATATACACTATGTACCACGTATGTACTTCTCGATAACGTGATACCGAAGGGGACACGTGATCCCGATCCAGATACGCGACACAATCGATGGCACAGAATATTTGTAAAAAATCCTGGCGTTCTTTGTTTCATAATGCTCCTTTTTCACATTGAAATGCAAACTATAAGTGAATCCGAGGACACATAATTGATAAGATTACATTTAATAGCTCGATGATAGTTTCCAAATTGCACGACTCAATGTATTTAACTTAGACAATCCCAGTTTTACTCGACGCTCAGCTGGAAAATTGATCTGGCGGATCTCCAAAAAACATGGATTCTTGAGGGTCTGCAATTTTCATGAACACACCGAAAATTACTCCACTTTCCAGAAAATACACACATCATAATAACGTTGTTATACTCATTACATATAAACTGTAAAATGCAATTGTTACATGTATCTTTACCATGCAATTTTTAAAGTGAATTTCACACCTTTCTG